CATTGAGCTAGGCACTGGAAAGGAATCAATCCTCTGTAATCTGGGAAAAAAGCACAAAGTCTGCCAGATGTACCGATGAAAGTCTGGGTGGGAGGAAGAGAAGTGCAAAATGTGGACCGAGAATGGAAGTCATTGACCTTAGGCGTCTAGCTGGAAAGTGGGTGTGGTGTATGCTGCCTTTTAATTCTGTATCAGGTAGGGTTTATTTTAGAACCTTACCTGTGTCTGCAGACAGCAAAGCAGACCGAACCGTTACAAATCCTGTTCCAAGGCTTTAGTTCAGAGTTTTGGCCAAGAGACTGTTAACAATAATGGAGGAGAATAAGCAGAGTGTCTGTCTGCTCAGTGCCGCCTTTCTCAGGGCTTGGCAGAGCGCCTGGCACGTCATAGATTCTTAATAAATGTTTGTGTAATGAATGGTGTGTTCTATTTATATCATATTCCTGCATAATTATGATCTTCATGATAGTCATACATTATATCCAGACAACACTTAACTGTTTATAAAGTGCCTCCTCTTGAAGTTGGCAGAATTTACTTATTCAATAAACAGTTATTATGTCTTCTGTATACCAGGCATATGCTAAGTACTATGGGTACAGCGGTGTTCAAAATACCGTCTCTACTCTCAAAGAGCTCACGTTCTGTAATAAACCATAGTGGAAGAGAATATTAAAAAGAATGTATATAACTGAATCTCTTTGCTCTGCACCAGAAACTAATACAACAGTGTAAATCAACTATAATAAAAATTTTTTTTAAAAAGCACTCACATTCTGGTAAAAGGTGGTTAAGAGAGAAGTTTATTACCATGCACTGTAGTAAATGCCACAGTTGGGGTAAACGTGAGGGTGTTATGGAAACACACAGGAGAAGTAACCCAGCCTTGTGGAGACAAGGAAGGCTTCCTGGAGAAAAATGACAATTTATCTAAGAACCAAAGGATGAGTAGCAGTTATAAGAGAATATGGTGCAGTTATGCCAGTATTTCAGAGCATGAGGAAGGTATGGAGAGAGATGACACTACAGAGGTCATTTAAACTTCCAAAGTGTCTTAAATCACTGAAGAAAAAATGTAGAGTGAGAAGAAAAAGGCAAAAACTGAAACCTGGGGGCCAACAACGCCTGAGAAGTGGAAAGAGGCAAAGAAGCCATCAGAGGAGCAGAGAAGGAATGGTCAGACACACGTAAGAACAGGGAGAGAAAAGGTGTCACGGAGACAAGCGAGAAGGATGAAAAGAATGAAGGAGCAACCGAGACCATCAGGTGTAGAAATGAGGCTCAGAAGGCGGTAACTGTCCATTTAATTTGGCACTGTAATGAGAAAAGCATTATTATGCCTAATTTACCTGTAAAACTGAAGTTCACAGAAGTTAACTGGCTTGTCCAAGACCGTACATCTAATAAATGAGCTAAACAGAAACCCTAATCCAAGTTTTCTGGTTCTAACTCCAGTACTTCTTCCACCATCATTGTCTTAATGTGCTTGAAAAATCGACAATTAACTGAGAAAGCACCATTAAGATATATTTATAATTCCAAATTCTGCAAAGGTCTTTAAGCGTCAAAAGTTCTAGCAGAATATTATGGGAGACTTCAAATTATATTTGTATGACTCTTTTATCAAATTTAAATATACACAGGTTTGTAATTTTGGTATGAGAATTTGCGAAAAGTTGTGACAAAATTGAACCTGTATGTGCCATTTGTTCTGAATTTTTCATTTCATAATACACATTCCACCACATATAATTATGATCATTTACATATTGAGCATCTTAGTCCACAGTGTGGTCCCTAGATGGCTGAGGTAAGAGGAGGGTAGCTTTGGCAGAGCTGAAGGTCACTGTGCCTTTCTGGGAAAGGGCATGCCTACTTAGGGCACTGAGGAGTGAGGATGGAGAGAGGGTACCAGGAGACAGAAAGAACAGGGTTTAAGGAAACTGAAAATTCTTTTAGCTGCAGTTTAGAGAGCATTATGTCTCCATTCCTTGACTAAAGTTCAGTGTCTGTGACACCATTCCACAGGAAGTTCCTTGATGGGATGGGTTTATGGTTTAGTGTTAAGATTCACTAAAATGTGTGACATTCACCTAATTTTTAAGCATTTCAAAGTCTTTGTCATGACTTTGTTGGAGTCAATTAATACTTTAAAATGCCTTCAGAAAACCAAAATTCTCAGTCACTAAACAAATAAAAGTGAATTTGGTTACCCTAGGAGTACACTGTTAAATTCTGTTAGGTAAGAAATTCAGAGGCCTGTATTCTGGGCAGTTTAGTAGAATGATAAGATATATCAGTGTGCTCCTTAATCAAGAGAAGGATATACATGTGAATATTGTTACTTGATTCTTCACTGTCATTAGAAACAACAATAGGAGTGCTGCTTGCATGTCGCCGACTTGGGCACTTTAAAATCAAACAGTCCCTGACTTTATCACACATGAATGAGTTTACTAAATGAATTCTAAACCACAGTCAGCTGAGATAGGGGCATTTCATTCAGTACCTAAGAATCGTTTAATAACCTAACTCTGTTTTGCTTAACTCCAAGGAATTCTAAGAGCATAACTGCTAGCGTGTATCACTTTAAAAGGAGAGAAAGGACTTAAATAAAAACTCTGTACTGCTCACATTGTGCAAAATGCTCATTTCTCCCTTACCCAGCACCAGGTCCTACTGCCAGTTGCCAGCTAAAGATTACAAATTCATTAAGTGGAAAGAATACTATTAATCATGTCTTTTTAGCTTCCAGCATATTTCTGCTGCTCAGAATTGTGGTTCTCAAATAATTGGATTAAAAGCTCTGTTGATTACACAAGTAGGTAAAACCTTATAAGCTGGTTGCTATTCTCCCCGACCTCGCCACACAAAACAGTTGTACTGATTTCTTGGCATCAGCATATTACAGTGGGTGAGAATGCAGACTCAGTAGTCACATTGCCTGCTTCTATCCTGGGTCCACCACTCGTTAATTGAATGTTCTTTGGCAAGTTACTTGAGTTTTTTAAGGCTTGGTTTTCCCAACTGTAACAATTTACATAAGATTTCAAATTCTGTTAGATAAACTCCAAGACATTGTTCTCATATTAATATTTTAAGAAATCTTAAAATTCTGGGCTTGGAAAGTTTTTTGAGAGAGGATTTGATGATAGTATTTAAAGGGTTATTGTGGGAAATAAATGAAATAATGCTTGTTAAACACTTGGCTCATTACCTGGCATGTAGTAAAGGCTCAATAAACATTAGCTTGGGTTATTATCATCATAAATTATTTATATTGTGATCAAAGGATATGTTAGTGAGATAATGGGTTTATATAAGACAATACATTCAGTGACTGTGAAACAGAGTTCTTTCCTGTAAAGTTGATAAACCATAGTCAGATACATACCTTTAACCCTGGTTTAGCACGGAAAGACAACTGAGTTAGCAACTGAAATACACTCTTGTTTCTACCAGGCAGAGTCATGCCTTTAAAAAATTATCTGTGAAGGAATCCTGCAATTCTTTATTTGATTGATTTTGAAATTTTTTCTTCAGTGTAAAACTATGCAGGAGATATAGGTCCTATTGGTTTATAATCTATTCCTTAAAAAACAATTCTATAATACAAAAAGCTAATAAACTTCTTTTGGTATAAATTTTTTATCCTCAAAATGCAGAACGGAGCAAACTGTCAGCAAAGGATAACTTGCTTATATTTTAACCCCAAAAGTTGAAGTTAGTACTGTTCAGATTTTCACAGACTTTAAAAATGAAAGCTCAGAATACTGAAATGACATTTAAAAAACTATTTTAAGTGGCTTTACTAATACTAAATTTAAAAATCAACCTTATTTTATTCTAAATCTATAGATAAGTCAAGATACAATTTGAAGATTTTTAAGAAAAATTAGATGACAGGGGCTAGCTGATTCATTTATTTTCTGGGACTACTCTCAACAGGCTAATTCTTCAATATTACCAAGCCATACAACTTTCTTTCATTTCACCAGGGAAAAAAGGCTTCCTGAAATTCTGTCTGGCCAGTTAATTCAGCTGAAATAATCAGTTCCTATAATCCCATGTGAGATTGCTCATCATACCTTTTGGTATTACACTTTGGAATTGCACAAATAATATATTAACATATGCTTACTGACAGAGAAATGTAGGTTTTTACCGAAAAGGGAAAATTATGGTGAGGGAGACTCTACATGATGAAATTAATCAAAATGATTGATATGTACTAATGTCAGGTATTATTCTTAAGTTTTTCACATATGTTATCTCATCTAATCCTAATTAGGAAGCAACAGAGTTAGAATTTAGATTTAGGTCTGATTGATATCAAATTGTATTAATCAAAGTGTGAAGTGATGCAGGCTTGTATTAGTTTGGGGGCTGTGAAAACAGTGAAGCAACATGTAAGAACAAATTTAAAAGTACCATTCACAAATCTTGACAATCTGTTAAAATTTAGGAGATATAGAAAAAGAATGAACTAGAAATAACTCTGAGGTTTGAGAAGCTATGAGAATAAAGAGTAGGTTTTGGTTCGTTATACAAGAAGAAATATCTAATAGGTAACTCTAGGTATGATACAATGGCTCAGGTAAGAGAACAGGACTAGAGTTGTTATTTTTATCTCAGGCACACAGAATTAGATTACTCGTCAGCTTTGCTTAATGACACTCTCATCCACGCGTGGCCTACATTTATTAGGTAATCATTGCTAATAGTGTAATGAGCACCCGCAGACCCACTCAGCAACAGAAGTTAGGACCCTGTTAGAAACTGCGTGGAACCATGTCCATCCCACTCCCATCACACTGTCTTCTTCCACAAAGAAAACTTTAGCCCCAGATGGCTTCACTGGGAAGTTCTTGCAAACAGTTAAGTTAGGAAAAAATAATACCAATTCTGCATGAACTCTTACAGAACATTAAAGAGGAGGAAATACTTCCCAACTCATTCTATGCAGGCAGTGTTACTCTTAGCAGAAGCAGACATGACAAGTGCTTGCCTTGGCAACACATACACTAGAACTGGAACCGTACAGAGGAGGTTGGCATGGCCCCTGTGCGAGGGTGACAGGCAAATCTGTGAAGCATTCCATCTGTTTATGATATCACTTATATGTGAAATCTTAAAAAATAATACAAATGAGCTAATTTACAAAACAGAAAGAGACTCACAGACATAGAAAACAAACTTACGGTTACCAAAGGGGAAAGTGCAGGGAGGGATAAATTAGGAGTTTGGGATGAGCAGATACAAACTGCTATATATAGAATAGATTAAAAACAGGGTGCTACTGTATAGCATAGGGAACCATATTCAGTATCTTGTAATAACCTACAATGAAAAAGAATCTGAAAAAGAATATATATATAAATATGTATAACTGAATCACTATGCTGTACACCAGAAACTAACACAGCATTGTAAGTCAACTGTACTTCAATTACAAAAGCAGACCTTGAGATTTGTATTAACGCAGTACATGTAAAAATAGATAAAAACAAATTTCTTCTGTATAGCACAGGGAACTATATTCAATATCTTGTAATAACCTTGGATAAAAAGGAATATGAAAATGAATATATGTAAATATATATGCATGCTGGGACAATATGCAGTACACCAGAAATCGACACATTGTAACTGACTATACTTCAATTAAAAAAAAAGCAGACATTACAAGAAAATAAAATTACAGACCAATATGCCTTATAAACATGGATGCAAAGCTTTTTAACAAAATTTTATCAAATTGAATTATCAACATGTTAAAAGGATAATACATCATGACTAAATGAAGTTTATCCTAGGAATATAAAGTTGATTTAACATTTGAAAATAAATTAATGTAATTCACCATAATAAAAAGAAAAACCATATGATTATCTCAACAGGCACAGAAAAAGCATTGTATTAAATCAAATATCTATTCCTGAAATTACTCCAGCACAACAGGAATAGAAAATAACTTAATCTGATATAGGGCATTTAAGAAAAGTCTATAGCTAAAATCATACTTAATGTTGAAAGACTGAACATTGTTCACCTAAGATCAGGAACAAGGCAAAGATGTCTGCTCTCACTGCTTCTATCTTACATTGTATTACAGGGTCTAGCTAGTACAATGAAGCCAGAAACAGAAACAAAAGACATCCAGATTGGAAAGTAAAAATTAGAACTGTGTTCACAGATGATATAATCGTCTATGTAGAAAATCTCATGGAATCTACAATAAAGTAATAAATTACTTTAGCAGGGTAGCAGCATATAGGATCAGAATACAAAAATAAATTATATTTCTATAAACTAGCAACAAAAAAATCATCAGTTGAAATTTTAAAAACATATTTACATAGCATCAACAAAAGAAATTATTTAGGGATAAATCTCACAGAAGATGTCAAAGATCTGCACACTGAAAACTACAAAATATTTCTGAGAAAAAAAATTATAGAAGATGTAACTAAATTGAGAGATGCACTGTTTTCATAGATCAGAAGACTCAACATTATCAAGATGTGAATTCTCCCCAAATCCATCTACAGATTTCATTGCAATCCCAATCAAAATCTCAGCAGGCTTTTTACAGAAATTGACAATCTGATTCTAAAATTTGTACGTGAATACAAAAGCCTTAGAATAGCCAAAGCAACTTTGAAAAAGAACTGAGTCAAAGTTATACTACCCTTTTCAAGGCTTATTATAAAATACACCAATCAAGATTGTGGTGTGGTGACTATAGTTAAAAACAAACAGTATGGTATTGGCATCAAGAGAGACAAATAGATTGATGGAACAGAATGGAGGGTCCAAAAATAGACCCACATATGTATGGTCAATTAATTTTTGACAAGGGTGCAAAAGCATTTCAGTGGAGAAAGGATACTTTTTTCAATAAATGGCCCTGGAAAAATTGTTTTTCCATATGCGAAAAAAAAAATTGCACCATAGACAAAAATTAACTCAAAATGGATTGAAGACCTAAATGCAAAACCCTAAAACTACAAAACTTGGAGAAGAAATTGTAGGATAAGTTTGTTGTGGGCTTTTTATTGACATAAATACAGTACAACCCCAAAAACAATCCATAAAAGAAAAAATTGATAAAATGGGCTTTATCAAAATGACAAACTTCTGCTCTTCAAAAGACACTGTTAAGAAAATGAAAAGACAAGCCAAAGACTGACAGAAAGTCTTTGCTATTCATATATCTGATATAGGTCTTGTATCCAGAATGTGTAAGTGCTCTCAAACATAATAATGGGAAAACAAACAACCAGGTAATATAATGGGTGAAAGATTTGAACAGATACTTCCACCAAAGAATATTTACAGATAGAAAAGAAACATATGAAAAGATATTCAATATTACTAGTTATTAGGGGAATGTTAATTAAAACCATAACATGATGTCACTACACACTTTTAGAATGTCTAAAATTAGACCATACCAAGTGTGGTTGAAGATGTAAAGAAAGTATAACTCATACACTATTGGTGGGAAGATAAGACGGTACAACTACTCAGAAAACAGCTTGACAGTTTCTTAAAAATTAAACATACATTTACCTTAAGGCCTAGCCATTATACTTTATTTAGCCAACGAAATTGAAAAAGCATATGTCCTCACAAAGACTTGTACGTGAATATTCATAGCAGCTTTGTTTGTAATAGTAACTGGAAACAACCTAAATGTCCATCCACAGATGAATGGTTAACAAACTGTCATATATTTATACAATGGAGTAATATTCAGTGATAAAAAGAAATGAACTGTTGATACATGCAACAACATGGATGAATCTCAAAGTAATTACACAGGGGGAAAAAGACAGATAGGACATTCTACATGATTCCATTTATAGAAAGTTTAAACTAATCTACAGTGACAGCATATCTGCCTAGGGATGGAGGTGGGAAAGGCAAGAAGAGAAGGGAGGTAAGGAGGTCTCAGAAAACTTCTAGGGGTAATGTATATATTCATATCTTGATTGTAGTGATGGTGTCATGGGTTCATGGCATGTCAGAACTTACCAAATTTTGCACTTTAAAAAAGTATAGTTTATTGTATACTTATTATACCTCAGTAAAGCTGTTTAAAAAATTGTTAAAGCCAATAGATAAATAAAATTCTAAAAGTTATTCAATTAAAACAGAAGTAGGCAGGAAAAGAGTAATAGAGGATCAAAAAAAGGAGGGGCAAACAAGAAACAAATAGGAAAACAACAACAACAAAAAAACCAAATAAAAATAGACTTAAGTCCATTCACATAAGTAATCACATTAACTGTTAATGGACTAAACACCGCAATTAAAAGACAGATATTATCAGAACTGATTTTTTTTAAAAAGCAGGATCCTATTATATGCTGTGTCCAAGAGATGTACTGTACATATAAAGGCATAGATAGGTTGAAAATAAGTGGCTAGAAAATTATATACCATGCAAACTAAACTTAAGAAATTTGATGTGGTGGCAATTTTTGTATCAGGTAACTTGAAGACAATGAGATAAGAAGAGGGAAGTTTCACACTGATGAAAGGGCCAATTCAAAAAAAAAGATATTATAATCATAATGTACATGTATTTTTAAAAGTTTGAAGTGACATGAAACAAAGATGACAGAATTAAAAGAAGAAATAGCACATAACTGAAGACTGATGGAACTAGGCCAAAACCTTTTTTTTTCAGTAAAGACATAGAAATAACATGATCAACCACCTTGACCTGGTTGATAGTTACAGAATAATACACCCAACAACTGCAGAATACAGGTTCTTTGCAAGGGCCCTTGGTATGTCCACTAAGCTCCTTTGGGCCATAAACTTACAAGGATTTTTTAACACTATGTACATGGTACCTTCTGTATCCTGACTCTTAGAAAAAGGGGCTGAGCGTTATCATAATTTATTAACTGCCTGGATTATGTCAGTAGTTTTTGAGGAGAAATTAAGGTGCTATTTCTCTTTATAAAAATATATAGCCTATTTAAAAATTAAGAAATTCTTATTTAATACTAATATATTTTTTTCAGGTGCAGAAAATTACAGAGCTTCATAATCATCCCAAGACCACATAGAGCAAACATGAATGATATTTCCCAAAAGGCTGAGGTAAGTTAAAAAAATATGGGGGAATCGGAGGGTTGACCATAGAAATGCTTTTGAAAGGGCCGCTGTTTGGCAGGAAGGTCATACACGGTAGTAACAGTGTCGAGATGTAAAACATAAGAGATAAAATTCACAGGCTGCTCTTGGACACAGTATTTTTATTTGGATTCTTATCTAGGAAACATGATTATTAAATTTGGTGACTGATAATGAAGTAGATGTGATGGCTAGCATCTTGAGTAGACTTCTAATATCTTGGTAAATCTTAGAAGTTATTTTTTCAGCATTTAAAAAAAAACTGGATTTGACGTCTACTTCTAGGAGAAAGAAATAATCCTCTCTCAGGTGAGGGTCCTTCTTAGGCACTTCTTTTAGCAGCTGCAGTGAAGCTTCTCTTAGCCTTTGTCTGGTTCTTGGCTGTAGTTACTGAGAGTTGTAGTAAGAAGAGTTCAGTTGCTGACACCCCAAAATTATAAACGTTAAAATACTTTAAATGGCCCATGACACGATAAGTAGAAAATAAAATACAGGCTGGGTATGCCACTGATTAATTAAACAATTTATCACTAGGGGGAAAGGATTTGGTGTTCTGAGGCGATGAAGTTTTATTTACTGAAACTTCTTTTAGAGATCAGCTTAATTTTCAGAAAGATGAAAATACTTTGCTTTCCTGGTTTCAGAATGGAGGGAAATTTTTTTTCTCCAGTCTTTTAGTAGATTCCTCCTCCTTTGGAAAGCCCTTTTGTCATTTGGATATTTTTCTCATAGAGTTTATCCTACTTGGAATGACATAGCATTCTTATGTTACGTTTTTAATACTAGTTTAAAGAAGTTCTAGGTGGACGGTATAGCAGTGGTAATGACAAAAATCCCTGCTTGTGCGCGAAGTCCCTGGCTCACCTTAGCCACAGCTGAGAAGTAAAGACCCTTCAGTTTTGCTCATATTTGATATGGAGACAAGCAAGAACATTATGTAAATGAGGCTTAAAC